CCCCCCACCACGCGGGCTGCCGCCGCGACGCCAGTCCGTAGTCAGTCAGCGCTGGACCGCCGCCCGCTCGATTTCGCGATCCACGAACGACGGTAGCCACCACTTCTCCACCTCCACCTCCTCCTCCTCCACCTCCGCTTCTTTTCTCTTTACCTTGCTCACGTTCTTGCCCTCTACCCTTCTCTCTCTTCATCGATATCCGTTCCTTCCCGTATCACTCTCCTCTTCTTCGTCTCCTCTCTCTCTCCCCCTCGCCATCTGTATTTCTCTGTATTTTTTCGTGCTCGTTTCTGCTCTCGCTGTTCCTCTTTCTCACCCTTGCGCTTTCAATTGGTCTCCAAGGTATACACGTACAAGGCACGCACGTAGATCGCGTATCTCTTTCTCTTGCTCTCTTCCATTTTCCTCTCTCGAGCGAGCTTTCGCTAGCTCCGTACGTACGAACGTAAGTACGTGCGGCGGAGTGTCGTGCGCGCGTCCCGAGTGGATGCAAGGCGTCGTCGCGAGGCACACGTCCCGTACACGAGTTATCGCGCGATCATCGGAGTTCTCGATCCTCGATAAGAGGATCGAACCTTTCTTCTTTCCGCCTCATTCCTCCGTTTGCGAGAATCGCGTCGCGCAAAGTGCAATCGCGAGTCTCAGTGTTAAGTGTGCCGATTCTCCTCGACGAGAACACGCGGAGGAACGAACGATCGCCTCCCTCGCGACGCGCAACTTCCAGAAGACGCCAAGTTTCTAACTTTTCTTACCCTGGATCATTCGTAGGTGCGGCTTACCCGACACGGTTTTCGGTTTTAACCTCGACCCGAGCAGACCTGCCTCTCCAAACAGTGAAGTACCTACAACTTCCACGTTCGTCTCGGCGAGATGCGTACACGATTACCGGTGATCACGTTTATCGAGTGAGCAGCTTCCAAGTGGACGCGCATGGATCACGAAGCTGCAGGATTTTCTCAAGTGCGTTCAGTGCGCGATACTCTCGCGAATCGAAACTGGAAATTAGTTGTGTGCCAGGCACCGATGTAGGCGTGCAACTGATCGCAAGGAAGGAGGATGACATCGATCGTTGGAAGATCGACCGCGGTCACCGCACGATTCGCTGAAATCGCGATGAGGTAGTGCTCGTTGGACACGCGCGAGTGGGTGACTCTAGTGCACGTAGAAAGGAAACTTGGAGCGGTTTCCCGCGGAAGATCTACGTCGGATCTTCGAGCGAGATTTTAACACAACACCGTCACATGTTTCGGATCGAATCGGCAGCGTCTAACGAGCGAAGACCTGGAGGCCACAGAGATAGTCGAGCATCCCCGAAGGACGCAGATGCCCCGAAGGAAACAGCACGCTCCGCAACGTATGAAATGTAAGTGTTTTCTTTTTTTCGCCTTCCGAGAGACATCTCTCGCCGTCGAAAGAGAAATCACGTAGCAATCGAGAGCCGGTATGCGACGCCGAGATTCCATCCTTGCGTTATTTCACACGCGTCGTTCGTCCTCTCGACAAAACGACATTTTTTACGCGTCCGCGAAACACCGTTAACGAAGAAATAAATTCTATCGATTCTAGTCGGCGTACGTTTCCTCGGCAATCGATTATGCTATTATTTATTCTTACGGCACAAGTTATTCGCGTTAAACGTCTTTACGCATCGGTTAATCCTCAAGCGACTCCGATAAAGTCCGAAGAAAATTTCACCTTGCCTCGTAGAATGCTGCTCGTTGAAATTATAACGTCTCCCCGTCTTTCGAGTTCCACCGTTCGATGCGTATGTATCTGTTCAACGTGAATTACTCTTCCAAGTATGCCGTCCTTTTAAAAAATCTCCCCTCAAGTTCGAAATTTCCTTCGTTTCTCCAACGATATTCGTCAGCCGTGAAAACCTGAATTATTCGAGTGTCGAAGACGATCGAAAGAGTATAATTCGGTAGCGCGTGACAGAGGGAGAAGAACGAAGGTAAAGGAAAATAAAATTTGACCCTGGTAGAAGGGCAGCCGTGAAACGGGCAGAGGATTCGTGCGTTTGAATGCTCGATGCGCGCCATGCTGCTTTTCCCACGTGGGGAGCCATGAGGCGTAAACAAACTCGCCCCTGGTGGAGGACGCCATCTTGGTGAAGTTCTGCCGGAAACATTTACAATTCACTCAACTTGCCCTACCGAAACTCGGCCAAGCGCCGATAAATCTCGTTGTGCGCGCGCGCGAATACCCGCCGCGTACATAAATCCACGGCAGTCTACGGAGTTTCGGCGCCGTAAACGCCACAGTTTTTCGCCAGCTTCCGTGGTGCCGGAGCTTCCGAGCGAATTCACCTCTCCGCGCGTCTATCGATCACGGATCGATTCCGATTTACGCGTATCGGAGATCGTTGGACGGATTTGTTACGTTTCGGACCACCGTTTCGTCGAGGTCGAAGAAAAGAATCGGTCCGGTGACCGGTCGCGGTTCCGTTTCAGTTCTGGTGCGATTAGAAGCTGTTGGAGATATGAAAGGGAGCAGTACTCTGCTACCTACTGGTAGGTAGGATGAAGCCGTCAGCGAAAGTAGGCGCGAATAAGTTAGGAAACGACAAAATACGCTTCACGGATCGCGCAGCGCCAAGTGGCTTGGGCTAATTTCTCCGTTTAATTTATGATGTCCCGGTGAAAGGATCCGTGAAACAGGCCGATCCGCACCAATCGATCTCTCTCTCTCTCTCTCTCTCTCTCTGCCATCGTGCTGTGATTGCTGCTCGGAGGAAGTTAATTAGCAGTATATTACCGCGAGATGTTGCCTCCTTGCACGGTCGCGAATGGAAAAGTTGAACGGGCGAGTAACCGAATTCGCGACAGATAGGAGAGAGACGCGTCTTTCGATTTTCCTCTTTTTCCGCAGGATCGTAGGGGTAATCCCGGTTGCGGAAACCTCGCCTTATTTATTGCCGGTCTTTTCGACTGGAGGAACGATGGGTGATTCAAGATCGCGTTAGTCTAACGCGTTGGCTATTTATCAGAAAATTCGTAGCTGGCGCAACAGGTGTAGTTTAAAGGCATCTTCTCTTCTTAATGTCCGAAAAAGCAAACTCGTCCGTAATTCGATCTCGCGGCCCTTTCGATTGGCAGGGAGGCGAGTCGCGTTACACCGTGTGAACCGCAAGGAAGAAGCGACGACGCGTTTAAAGCCGAACCGGCTTCTTCGCGTCGAGCGGCGTCCATTCACCCTCGAGGAATTATCGATAACGTCCTGGCTATCCTCTGACTTTCCTCGTAATAATCAGTCGACCAACGCCGTCGCGTCGCGGAGAATCGAACGGAGAGGCCCGATAGCGGAGCGCTAATTATAAAGCGTCGCTCGAATAGCTTCGGAGGACAGGATCGAGTTGGCTACCGTTCCGTGCGTTTCTCCGCGACTCGCGATCCACGGCTCCATTCATAAAGTAGGAAGAGGTGCTTTAAGTCCGCGCACGCGCATCCAAACGGCCGTCGTCCGTCTTCGCTACCAGATATTTTCGGCGGTCCGGAATTATAAAGCCAGCACGGTACTATATGGTTTCACCCGAGACGCCACCGGAGACTCGTCGCGAGATTCGCCGCAAACCGGGATAACCATCCGGCTTCATCCGAAAATGATCGATTCGACGACAGGCTGGCTGCCTTGTCCCTCTCGGAATAACACTTTTCTACCATTTTCGCTAACAGAGAGAGCTTAAGAGCGTTTTTTAAAAGAGGAAACCTTGGACGGACGAAAAGGGGAAGACGTTTTTCCCATGCGCATACCTGCCGCGCGAGGCCTACGAAACGGTTGGCAAAAAATTTACGACGATTTGTGTAAAAGGTCGGTGCAGGACATGCGGTGCACACTCCTCCGGATATATATACCTGCTCTGGCTGTTTTCGTAAGGAGAAATTTCACTGGCGATCGTAGTAAAAACCACCCGGTGACCCGTGGCGAACGACGCCCATTGCGCAAAACTTTCACCTCAAACAATGCCGACGCATTTTTCGACCTCGAAGCCTCACTCCTCCGCTGCCATAAATCCTTCACAACCCCGTGGAAAAAGCGGCGCGCCCTTTGCTCGCTAACATTGCCCCGACGCGGAAACGGAGAACCCGAATACATATATACATATACGCTCTCCGCTACGACGTCTAAACAGGGCAAACTCCTGTCGTTGTCGAGGAGAAGGAGCATCGAGACGCGCAACAGCGGCAAGAAAAGTGCACGGATCGTTGTGCGTTATGCTCGAAAACGGTGATACATACATCGGCGACAAATGTAAAGCCGTTCTGGACGCGTAACGAATTAACCATGCGTGAAAGATTCGGGCCCGAGGTTTCGCGTCACGCGCGTGCATCGAGAGTCAGCTTTCTAATCGGCTTCCATTATTTCCGGTGATCGTGATTTACACGCGATATCGCATCGACGAGCAAATGTGCCAAAAGCGGTATATGTATGTACAATATCTCGAGATAAATGAGACTGCCCCGGAGGAGCTTGACCGTTTTCGTTTCCTTGCAATCCCTTTGCATTCGGTTGATCCGTACGTACGCGGTAAGCACGTCTACGTGGAAATAGATAGAATATTTTACAATTTTCATCGGTCACCGTCAGCCGATCGCCGCCGCGCCGCCGCTTTTTTCCGATGCTTCGACGCGGCCATTGACGCGATCCGAGGGGCGCGGTCGACGAACCAACTCGTTCGAAAGTGAGTCTTTATGCATTATTACAACACCACGTGTCTAGTTTCGGAGAAATTTCTCGCGGAATAATCCGCAAGGAAATACGACTCGGTGGCTATTTTTTCGCAGCGAGCAATCGCTCGTCGGGCGAGAAGAGGGCAGAAGGTTTGATCGCGTCCGCTTAACGCGAGACTGGAGTAGACGACAGCGTACCCGTCGTCGATATTCTCATTCGGAATGAATCATTTAACGCGAAGAGAGTTTTCATCGTGCAAAGCGCGAGCGAGCGCGGGCTCAGTCTCGCGTCCTCTCACCCTATTTTCGATGCTCGTAAACCCGGCGTCGCTGTATCCGACTGATCCGTCTCCCGATTTATACCGAGAGACGCAGCAACTCGTCGCTCCTCGAGGCTAGCGCCTGCTGCCGGATCTTTCTCCGCGCCATTCTCTAAGCGGTGCTAATAAATTAGCCGGAGAAAAAGACGGCGGCGGTGCGACAGATGCCCGATGGCTGCCATAAAGGAGCTGCTAGAGACGCTCGCGGGTGGTGGAAGCACATCAAAGCGTATCTCTACCGTCCTCCCGATGCAGTACCGTTCTTTTATGTTTACTCTCCGTTTGCCTGACAAACACCCGGCTCAGTTGTACATTGTTGCTCCGAATAAATTCTTACAAAACGGGAGGGAAATATCGGGCGAGGGCAAACGCGCTCGAATATCAATCGAATTTCGAGGCTGGTCGACGTGTCTGAGGCGCGTCCGCCCGTTCTGAAAAAGGCGAAAGAGCGAAGCGCGTTCTTACGGATTCCTTTTCCAATTCTCTTCCCACTTGGGCGTTGATCGGCCAAGGAGAAACGCAACGGCGTGTCCTCGTAGCGACGACACGGCGTGCCACTCGAAAACCAACTACCGCTGCAGCGGTTCGCGTCGAACGTGCCGGCACGCTTAAGTGACTTTCGGTGTTTGGCCTTTGCGACCACGCGGCGAGAGTCTTTTGCCTTTGCGACAACGCGCTCGCTTTGCGGCTGTGCTCGCGAACCACCAGAGGCGGCTTCTCTCCTTCCTCTCCTCTCCTCTCCTCTCCTCTCCTCTCCTCTCCTCTCCTCTCCTATCCTCTCCTCTCCTCTCCTCTCCGCGTCGCGCCGCGCTCGTCCATTCCCCGCACGCACCCCCGACTTTTCTTCTTCGCCTTTGCCAGCTCCCTCGGGGTGTACCTGTGCTCCGCTCGGCTTCGCGCACAGATAACTAAATCGGCACGTCGAGCCGTCCGTAACGCGCGAAACGAGACTCGCGTAGGCGCTCATTGAGATTGGGGTGAGTGGGTAAAGGGGACGAAAGTGGGTTCGCTCGAGGGTGCGGGAGAGAAAGACGGACTCTTTGGAAGTGGGGGAGGCAGGCGACACGGTCCGTGCCTCGCTCAAGTGGGGGCCGTGAACATCGCTGTTCCTTCCTGACTGCCGTGAAGTAAAGCTGTGCTCGCGCCAACCATATATACCAATCCTCCTTTCTTCCCCTAAACACCAACCTCCGGTTAATCCCTCGAAAAGGAGACGGTCGGGATCTTCGATGGAACGATCGAGGTTGAACGAAACGTGTTCCTCATTAAGAAGAATGATCGTCGTCGTAAAAGTTGGTCCAAGTACCGAGAGTTCCGCACGCGAGACAAGAATTTGTTCCGACTTCTTCGACGGAAGATTGGAAGAGTGGAAG